TCAGTTGCCTGGCAACGGGATCCAAGGGGGCGGATTTGGAAGTGGGAGGAAATTGATGCAATTTTTGGGTTCTTTGCGATGACGACATCAAAAAAAATACATATCCAAACCAGTTCGAAAGCGAAACAAATTTTCGGCGATGACGCCACAATTGCTGCTGCCTTTTGCGTTTTATGTTTTTATGCTCAGAAATTAAAAGCCACACGGTAAAAAAACGAGAAACAAGGTAAAAGCAAAAGAAAGCTACCAAGAGAGCTATCGCCATCCCGCTCGCTCACCAGACGTGTGTTGCATGTGATTTCTTTTAATTTTCGTCTCTGTTTACGTTTACTTAACCACAAAACAGAAACCGAAAAGATCGGTCTTTTTGGGTTAAAAGTTAATTTGCTCCAGACACGAATCTCATTCTCTATGTTCTTCCCCTGATTCTTTAGAGATTGTCTTTAACTTGGAAAACACACAAATACATGTACCCATGTATGTACATACATATGTACTTCTTAGAATAACAAGGGGTTTTATCGGGGTCTCTGGTGCTTTCTGGGGTTAAGGTGTAACTCCAAAGTAGGTTGTTAATATTAAGCTCAATAGCTGCAACACATTAGCCACAAATGTTTGATTTTACTTTTTATCAAGTTTGTAAGACATTTGTTTCAATTGCCTCTCACAAATTTTAGAAAGATTAAAGTTATTAAAATGATTTTTTTAAGTTTTCTTTAATTTTAAATTAAGTAACGTTTACACGGATTTATTGGATGAAGTCATCTAATAAACCCAAAATTATCTTTCGAAAAACATTTAATAGACGAAGAATTCGAGTAATTTAAGTTTCGGAAATTGTGTCAAAATTAAATTATACCTAATAAAAGAATGAAACCACGCCAAAATACATTAGAGTGATTGATACATATGATTTTAATCAGTATAAGAGTACAGCAGTATGGTACATACAATGTACATAGGTACATATGTATACTTCTTAAGAACTTTTATAAACATTAAATAAGCTTGTTTTGTTTTCAAAAGTCAAATCTAATTGTTTTCAGTGTATTCTACTAAGAAGAATCTTGTCAAAAGCTGCTCTTTTTTGAGCATTTACAGTGGTTTTACTGGGTACCCGTACCCCTTTTGAAAACAGGTTTCCCTAATCCCACAACATAACCACTTTTAATTGGAGGCGAGCTATAGCCTTGTGGACTGAGCTTTTGAACTTTAAATTCTAATCCATCAGCTGGGGTCTGGGAACAAAAAGCCGTACACCTTGAACAACCCACACGTATTAGTGACTAATTAGAGAGTCCGACGCCGAGAATAACTAGAAAAAATCGATGCCGAATGATACAGCTGAGAGCGTTCGTTTGGTTCTGTAATTTTATGCAATTATCGTGCCTGCAGGTCGGCCGTTTGCCAATAGCTATTAATATTTAATGGTAGCTGCCCCGACATCTGGCATCTGGTCCAAACTTGGACTTTAACCAGATGTGATTTGTTTGTGGGGAATGGGGCGATTTGTAGAGAAGTAACGCTAGCGCTGTTATCAGTAAGCCTATTTATTGGGGGTCAAAATTCCATAGCTAAGCATTAAGTTGAGTGCTAAAACTTTCCAAAATCAATCCTATATGTTACTTATATTCATGAGAATTTTTTATCATAAAAAAAACAAATACTTTTTTATCACAATAATAGTCAAACATTTAAGACTTTCTTGGGATTAGTTTAATTTTCATTGAAAAAGTAATTTAACAGAACTTTGTTGGGAAATTCTCTTGGAGTAAAAAAGATCCATAACTTTTCGGCTATGACCAAAACTACAAACGAAAATATTTCCGTAATAAAAAGCCCCATAACTCGCCTTTTTCGTGCTTCAGATGCTTCGATTCAGAGCGTCCCGCTGTCGTTCGTTACTTACTTGGTCCAGATTGTTCGGGAACTGGTTTATCAGCCTGCTGAACTGATAAGCGAAATCGCGCGCTACACACCCATACAATACGGTCGCCTCCGAGTGAGCAACGCAACGCAACGCGTCTAATGCCAGCGGATCAAGATTGGCGAATGCCCCATCAGACTCCAACTCGCTTTCTGGTCGGCCAAAAATCGTTTCTATATGCGTAGCACGGAGCACGGAACACGGAGCACACAAAAGCCCCTGCACATGGCCATAAAAGTGTACATAAAGTTGAGTTCTGTATAAGCTTTTTCATGTACTTTGTAGGGGGCCTGGGGATTGGGGTTTGGGGTTGATACTGGTGCTGTGGGACTGGGGATTTGGGGGTGTGCCAGTGTGTAGGTCACCGAGGCACAACGTCGACGCTGGCGTCGCTGCTCGCCAAGAAGTCTGCGGCAGAATCTCAGACCTCGAAAAGCCCATTTAACGCACAGCCCGACAAGGAAAACGCTCTTGAATGGAAGATCTCAAAACTGGCGGCTGGGAATTGCGCACAAAAGGCGGAAAAACTTGGCCAGCTGCTGCGCAGTTGATAAGAGAAATGAAAACTTAGTCACTTCCAGGCGATAGAAGTTCTGGCGTTTCCGCCTTTGAATTGATTAGGAGCAATTATGTATCCACGGGGGGATTTCCAAACTCAAGACCTCTGGAACGATTAAAGTTTTAGGGCACCGAGATGCAGTGAATCACAATCTGAGCTGCTTTGGTTATTTCTCACAAACAAATGCCGATGTAACTTATTTGCTTGTACCTCCATTTCCTGAAAAAAAAACCAAGTCACCCCTGGGCTTTTTTCCCGCCTCAAAACCTCAATAATACCCCAAACCCTCCCTGGAAAGTCGGGCGATACTACTGCGCATGTTTCCACATTCTTTTGCAGTTTCCTTTTGTGAAACAATTCGCCCTGCATATAGAACATATAGGGGCAGAAAATGTCTCTTTGTTTCTTATTTTTACCTGGTGGCCAAGGAATTTTTCATTAGAATGATAACTTGGCAAGAAATTGCGTCTTATCAAGGGGGCTTCCTCTTCCTTTGTTTACTTTTTTCTCTATCCCGCGAATGCAATTGCATTGTAAGGGGAGGGTATTTTGAAATAGAACCAGTTGGCTGACATTTGCATAAAGATACATACATATACATAGATACGTTTCCTTGAAGAATGGGTCTTAAGTTTATGGCTTGATCGTCTAGGAAGTTGAGTTTTGTAATGAATGTATTCAGCTCGTTTCATTAATTGGTTTATGTAAACGAGAAAGACCGTGACCATATCGTTTCCACGTTAGAATTATAAGATTTTCATCACATGTTATTTATTTTAATATTCAGAATACTGTGTTATAAGTGTTCCAATAATTTTTGTCTATTTGAAAATTATTTAGCTATGTATTCCTTTCCATGTAAGCAACAATTGATTTTTCAAAAAGAAAATTCAAAATTGTTTAATACATACCAGATACATAAATCCAATGGAAAGTACGAACATATTTCACTCTGTATATTACTTATTACTGCCATAAAAATAAACAAAGTACTTATTAATGACCAATTTAGGGATACATTTTTGACAGTGCTGTATTTCCTGTCCGCAATCTTGGCCACAGGCAAACAATCTGCGTCTAATTGGTAACCAAAGAGCTCGCTGCCTTTGAAATAAATATAATTAGAAGGTCTCAGCGTTTGAATTACGGATCTGGGGTTTGAGTTTTCCATATCAGTGAGCTCGATTTGGATTTCGGGGGATGGGAAAGATTTTCCCAGGTCAGGTAGAGGTTGCGAAAAATGTAAGCCGAAACGATTTCGGGGGTTGAGAAGGTAAGGTCGTTTGCCCGGGCACTGGGCACTTTTCCCTGGGAGTGAGTCCGGGAATCCGTGACACGAAATTTCCATTTGGCTCCCCACATTTTCCCCGACTTGTGTGCGTCGTTAATGAAGGCATTTGAGCATTTGAACCAAACAAGTTGCAGTTACCCCTCTTTGAAAGAGGAAACCCGAAAAGACAGAAGAAACTCCGACTCCGGAAAGTCGCCGTCCAAAAAAATGAGTAAAGAAAAGGCAGCCGACACACAGCGACAATGCAGCTAAGTAAACAAAAAGAGGGAGCCGAAAGAAAGGAGGGGGGGGGACGTCGAGAGAGAGCGAAGAAAGAAAAACATTTACAAAAGAAAGTTCATTGAACTGGTGTGCCAGCGCGTTCGTCGTTGGCTAACTTCACTTATGAGCCATGGATGTTGATGACGTCTTGAGGTTGAATTTCAAACCCATTTTTCAAACAACTCAGCAACGCAGAAGTGCCAACGTCAACGTCAGTGACCGCTCATACACCCCCCTCCAACCACTTTTCAGAATGGAAAAGGAAAACTACTCCTCGATCGGTTTAACCAAGGGTGTTGTGGGGCAAGTTAGAAAATCTAGGAAAGCCAGACATTAAATGGAAACCCCACATTTTTATTTTTATGATTATGAACCATTTCCGATATTTCATTTTTACTGATTGTTCATTACTGATTACAAATTGATCATTTTTTCGCAACTTTATATTCATGATCTTCACATTTCCTTCCATAACATAAAGTCACAGATAAAATAATGCTTGTGAAAATCGACACTTAGGAAACATAGTCAACTGAATATGTCTTATTAGACCAATTCGCAATTTCGGTGTGTTATAGTTTGAAATGTTTAGTATAAAGTAAAGTATCTCTTAAATCACAAACTGTTAAGGTTAAATGTTGACGTACAGAATGATAAGATCAATCTATTTGAAATTTAGAATCTCTTGACGGACTAGTAAAAGGCAAGTCGAATGCAATCCTACGACAAATGTCTTTGGTAATAAACAATTATAATCACTAGTTATTTTAACTGATTCTTAGCCTAGATTCTATTTTAATAAAATAAAACTGTGTAAATAAGCCTAACATCCAATTACAATTATGGGCTTCCCTAATTAGGACAGATTCTAAAAAAAATATTAGTTAAAAAGAAAAGGGGCTTAAGCGATCGGCCTTATCTGTTGAGTGTTTGAAGCTCTAGCAAATTTATCAATAAACAATCAAACAAACTTACGTGCAGCCACACAAAAACACGAAAAAACAAAAACAGTACAACGCTGCATTTACATACATAGATAGATACACGACAGCGAAGGTATGTATATTGTTCATAACATGGGTGTAGCCAGGACTAGATTCATGGGGGATTCAACCAATAAAACGAATTTCAAGATAAGACATATGGAAATATTTTAGTTATTAGAGCTACTTAGCTTTCATTTAAAGCTAAACTTTAAAACGCATGGCAGTTAACCCCTTTTCTCTATTCTCAACTACGCCCTTGGTACATACGCTGTTCGTTGAGTTTGCGAAGTCGACTACGAATGAACGAAACAAAAACGATGAAGAACAGAACGCGATGAAACCAAATCGAAAACCGTATGTATTCGTGACCACTCGAGTGTGTGTGTGTGTGTGGTGAGGGACGGGAGAGAACGCGCCTGTTGCAAAAATTCAGTGCTGCACTCTCATTCGTGACGAAAGGATGTACGCCCGGTTGTAGTCGAATGAATCCGTGTACATCATCGCCCCCATATATGCCACGTGGCTCTGGATCCGTGGAAAACTCCACACTGGAATCGCACGGCCTACAGCTGCTCGAGATGGCTGGAAAGGAGGACTACGAGGAGCTGCGCGAACTTCTGCAGTCGTGGGATGTCGCCGATCTGCTGCCCCACCTGCAAGGTATGTATGTATGATTTACCATACATATGTAAACAAACCAAAACTCATAAAGAGCGGTCGATAAAGAGCGGGCGAAAAGAGAACGCGACTTTAACCCTGAGTGTGTCGTCGGTGATTGGTTTTAATCTCTTGTTGATTACAATTGCCGAGTCTTACGATTCGAACAGTTGTTTGAAATGAAATTAAATATTTAATATTATAGAATAAGTATTGTTATTTAATTTATTTCATTAAATAAAAGGTACCTACATATTTACATAACTTGAATTGTGTAAGTAATAATTATCTGCGCTTTATAACTGTGGTATTTGTAAATAGCAATTAAATGATTTAAACAATACAAATAAACTCCTTTACTCTGATCAAAGTTTTACTTGCTGGCTTTATTTTTAAAGATAATCTTTGTTTTTGAAGAATTTAAATTTAATTGCTAGCAACAAACCGGAAATTCAGATTGAGTCAAAACACAAATAACAAAAATAATAATAATATTCTACTCGTGTTAATATAATGTTAATGAATCATGCTTTGATACCAGTCTATCAAAACCACAATTCATATTTAATTTCCTACTTAGTTTATACAAAGATGATGCAGTTTTCAGATCAACATTTTTTAGTAATTTTAAATATATACATTTTCAAGCTGACTTGTTTCCTATAAAAGTAATGGAGTGAAAATCTACTTTCTAGCCTAGAAGATCTAATGAAGAGTATTTACCTAACTGTTTTTTAGATGAGGCCATCAACGTGGACGAGCTGCAGATGATAAAGCGCCATCATCTGTCCGAGTTGCTGCGTAACTTTCGCTTCGGGACTCGCATTCGCTTCGAGCACCACTTGGAGCGATGGCGCCGATGGTTGAATGTTCCGCTCCAGGGGGGCCAGGGCCCGAGTTCGATTCACTGCTCCGGCTGCCGCTGCCAGGAGGTTCAGGCAGCCGACTGCCACGGCCAGATCCCCCTGGTAACGGGCCATCCATCGGAATTTCCAGAGGATCCTGAGAAATGCGAGGACCTGGCCAAGACAATACCGGCGGAATCGCTGGTGGCCCTCAGTGAGCCCAGGAAAATAGAAGTTCCCTTTCAAATGCCCATGGTTGAGACTCCTCCACGGATTGCCAACGAGGTCATGTTGGTTAAACAGGAGCTGATACCGATGCAGCAAACTAGGACAGTGGAAGTTGGAACTGGGGCTGGGTCTTCGGGAGGAACCTCAGTCAGCAAAGATGATCAAAGTGCAGTGGCTGACCAAGAGGTCAGCATTATGGGTATCCTGCGAGCCTCGGGCATAAGGTCGCAGACCCTGCTTGAGCGTATTGGCCAGGATGAGCCCCTGGATGCTGTGCAGCGCCTGCTGCTCATTCAACTGGTGTGCAGCTACTACGAGGAGAACCAGCTGCACCTGACCCTACAGAGGAGTCACCTGCTGGAACAGGAGATCCTGCAGCTGTACCCGCAAGAGCAGCTCAACTACTACCGCACCGAGAGGCGGGGAAAGATCTACGTGAGGTTCACCAACATGAAGCGGAGCAAGAGGCTCAGTTCCTCGCGACAGGAGCTGAAACGCCGCCGCTCCGAGCTTGCGAGGGCGCTTCCGACGGGACAGGCACCTAGTGCCCATGTCACCTTCGCCGCGGACCAGATCTCCAGTCCGGACCGCTCCGATTGAGCTAGTTTGATAAGCAGTTAGGCAGCTAAACCCAAAACCTTAACGTAATGCTAATCTTAAGTTAAGCTATCCACTCGATGTGTAATATCTTTGTCTTATGTCTGTAAAACAATGAGTTATAGGGTATTTTGCGGGTCGACGCGATCCGGCGACTGACGAAACTAAATTGAAACTGATTTTGGTTACATGGGCTGTTTTTTCTTCTGGTTCTGTTCTTACTGAAAAAAATGATTACATCAGCGGCGAAAATAGACGGGCGACGGCGTGTTAACAATCGGCAAACACGGCAAGCGCGGCCAGCGACTTTCTGACTTTGCTGACTAACTACAAAGTGCGGTCAGTTAAGTATCTGCACTAGAAAAAAAATGGTGTACTTAAATTCCTGAACTAAATTTTGGGTTGATTTCATTTGGGTGACTCAGAAATCTCTTTGATCCTTATTGAAATGGCCCATTTTTTATATTTAAAATCAAGAATCATTTGTTCATGTGTTCTAAGGCATAGCTATATTTTTAAAATTTTTTAAATATAATTTTAATCTTTTCTGGTAACCAAAGATTATTTAGATTTCTTATTGGTTTTTTTTTATAAAGAATAAATATTTTGGAATACAACCATTTTTGTGTTCTATACCCCACTTTTGATCTTGAATATGACAACTTAACTAACTTTAGTTAAGTTTTTGTTTTCTGTGTTGAAGAAAAGCGGGGGGCGTTTCGGTCGAAACTAATTAATTAAGTTGCTCGCTTAGTGCTGCGCTTTCAGAGTTTTGTCAGCCTTTCTGGTCTTTTCGATTCTCCAGTTTCGTCGCACATGTTCGGTGCTAATTGCCTTTATCAGTGTCGCGCCGGAGAGCAAACAAAACTATCTGCAGGCCCCGGCAGATAGCGTGTGATTGCCTTTCGAAGCTCCACTTTGGCCACCTCCAGTGGGCGGTGATTTTTCGCAGTTTCGTATTTTTGCATTTTCAGCATTGTTCGATTCCGCGGCCAGCGCATTCCAATAGATCTTTACGAAAACCCCTTTTTTTCTGTTGTATCCTAAAGCAATTGTTCTGTGCATGTATCTGATGGATACGCCGTAGTAAATAGGTCGCCAGCCACATGGCTACAAAAGTTGCTTGCGACAGGGCGACAAACTATTTTATTTGTAGCGAATGCGTATCTGTGAGCTTTGCTAGCTGTAAAAGCTCCTCTGTATGTACTACTTCGTATCTGCAAGATACTTTTTACATTTTCCCTACTTTAATTACTCAAATTCTGGTTTATTACACACGATCGGGGTTCTAACAGTCTGTATGTATGCATTCGGTGAGTAATGCCCGTACTTGTTTCGTTTATCTTATCTAGGTTTTGTGCTTTTCAGCCGCCTCTTCTGCTCGTTCCACTCGCTTTTTCTGTATTTTTTTTTTCGTTTTTCTATGGCATCCAAATAGCTGGACAGCCAACTCACACACAGATACACTTTTTCGAGTGGGGAAAGTAGGTCAATTACACGTGTCGTGTGTGTATGTACATCTGTATTTTGTTTTTTCGTATTTTGTATCTGCGGCATATGTACGTTTGGTTTTTATGCTTGGCCAGCATAATCAAACAAGCACTTTGTTGTCGCTTCTTCGTGGCCCGATCAAAAGTCTACTATTTGCCCAGTTCTCCATTCTCCGTTCTTTGTTTTCTCTTTTTTTTTCTTTTGGTTTCTAGGCCAAAACGCTGCAATGGGCGTTCTTCTTGTTTATCTTTTGTGGAGTTTTATGGACGGAACTCGGACCAAAGATAAACCCGCTGGATGATAAATTGGGGGCACTATTATGTGTATTATACAGAGATTGAGAAATTTTTAGACTAAACACGTTTGAAAGTATCCAGATAAGCTTAAAATTTTGTATTCAGCCCTTAGTCAAAGATGTTTTGTTGCAAACGTTTAATTTAATTTTAAAACTTTTTTAAAACGTTGAAAGCTGCATTTTTTAAAATCAATGAAATTTTGTAATTAAAACTCAAAAATAATTAAATGAATATTTAAAAGACAAATACCTTTGCAACTTAATACTATGTAAGGTTTCGGTTAAAAAACCAAGTCTTCTAAGAACCTTGAACTATAGTTTAGCACTAATACGCAAGTTTTATTCTAAGGTACTAACTTAGTAAAAATAGTTGCCCTTTGGAGCGTGTTTTCCCCGTGTGGAAAGGACGTTGAAAGGACAAGGAAACCATTGGAATGTGCGGGGGTGGATGATACAAATTATATACATACTGGGAGGGGGGTTGAGGTTTGGGTAGTGAGATAAAAAAGCGCCCAACTAGTATATGCCCGCAAATTGGGTCAATCGATAAAAGAGGCAGCGACGGAGGCGTCGACTGCGGCACATGCGCCAAAAAGGGGCGGGGGTGTGGGTGGGTGTGGCGCCCAAGGAGCTTTTCCCTCGATTTTCCTTTTTTCCGAGAGCCTGTTGTTGGTAATCCAATTGTAGGTGGGCCAGAAGCGTTCTAAATATATGATGCCATGTAATGTACATTACACATAAAAGTCATGTGCTTTATATATAGAGGGGTATACGTATATAGTGTACCCTTCCTGCGTTACATGGCTCCAGCAATATGGATTACATCACACGAGGTTCTGCAGCCCGTTTCCTTGTATGTGTATGTGCGACTTTTAATATTTTATAGGGCAGCTGTCACTGCTCCACTTGCCACCCCCCGAAAAGCACCCGAAAATACCTCCCAAAAACCACCATCTCGCCCACTAACTGCGGGCTCGTAAAGCGGAGTTTGGGGCATATTGTCGTTCCAAGCTGATAAAATAAATAAAGGAGCCTTAATGAATGTTTTTCTTCCAGGGCTGATTAAATTTTTGCCATCCATTCCAAATATTTTATCCCACAAGAATGTTAAACATTGCGGTGCAGGGGCAAAAGTTTGCCCTGGAACTTGGAACTTTATTCTCAGCGGTCTAAAATTGATTTTCTAAGTGCTTTAGGCCATTTTCCAAGTGGATAAAAGGAGAAAAATACTTATTTGTAGTTTACTTTGATGTTGTCTTTGTATAAAAAATGCCTTAAATTAATTTGTGTCTTGATATAAAATTGTACCTGTATTTTACGGGGAAAACAAATTGTAAATAAAAACTGGGTCTAGTAAAATAAGAAACGGAAGTTTATTAAAATAACTACCATTTAACGAAGTATACATTTTTATTACGCTTTCAAATAAATATATCTTAGCTTGTTTTAAAAAGTTTTAGTCTTTTATAATAAGTAAATAATAGCTTAGAGAACGTTTTGTAATGCAATGTTAAAAGATACATTTGTTCTTACAACATCTGATTTTTATGAGTATTAAATATCAAATTAATAAATTGATTTTATCTATAAAACTTAGTTAGTCAAAAGAAGAAAAACAATTCTCAAAACAATTTATAAAATAGACAATAAATAGTGTTAGCGGCAGCTCAAACCTTTTTACATTTATTATACATATAGCTTACTTTATTTCTACTTGACATATCTACCTTACATACATTGTGTAGAATTGTTAATGAACATTGAACTTTATTGATTCGGCGTGGCAGCTCTATGTTGGAAAGCGGGAATTTCAAAAAGACAATAACTATCTTTGAAAATATAGTTCCTTAAAAGTAGGTAATAAATTCTCCTTGGCCAGAGTGCTTAATAATAATCCCAACCCAAACGGCAGTCAATTAAACAGGACACTGGTTGATATTATTTGAAATATATTTTATTGGTAGGCAGTTTTGAAGAACATTTGTAATGACATTTATATATAATGAACATGTTTCAAATAATCATTTTCATCTCGCTTTCATTTTGCTCGACTTTCTCCCATTTGTAATATTCTTCTATGTATGTATGTATATAATAAATTTATTTACTTTATTATTATTATATTTTCCCACCTCATCTCTAATCGTTTACTTTGTTTAGTTGCTGCGGTTGCGTTTTTTTTTGTTGTTTACCTTTTATGTTGCTCTTTGTTGTTGTGGTTGATTCTTAATTTTGTTTTTGTTGTTTTGTTTTTTTTTGTCATATACCTTGTAAACTTATGTAGTTTCATATATGTATAATTTATATATATGTGTGTATATATAATGGCTTACTATAAGTTACTTAAAAAACATTATATAATAAATATTTACTCGTACTTTATGTATGCCTCCCCTTGTTTCCGTTCTTTTTTGCCTACTCCTGCTTAAAGTCCAGTGCTCAGATCGGCAAAATTTGTTTGGGTCACAAAGTTTCAATGGAAATAATGTCAAAATCAAAATTTAAATACAGCAGCGCAGTGTGGCCATTCAACTATCGGTGATTTTAATCTATTGACTGATCACACTGTCTCAAAATTAGACCTTTTCACTTTCCAAAAAAGTTTGTCGTTCTGAGTACTAGGCTTTACTTCATATATTTGTATAATATATGTATGTGTATATATATATATCCTTTTATTTTATTTTATTTTATTTATCAATAATTATTACCAATATCGTAGATCACCAAACTTGTTTTAAAAAAATGTTTACACGAAATTGTTGTTTGTTTTTCTCATTCTCTGCGGATATTTCGGTATCGGATTCGGTTTGGGGACTTGGTTTCTTGGGGTTTACACTTCTGCTCTGCCTCCTCCTCTCTATTCAAGTTTTTGCTCTGACTACGATCTTCGGCCTTGATCTTTGATGGATGATGCTGTAGTATCTATATAATTTGCGCTCTCTTTCCATATTTGCTATGTATATGTTTTTGTATCCGTATATTCCTATATTCATCTATCGTATGCTTTGCTCTAGTCATAAATATTTATATATATAGGTCTATGTACAGAGAAGTACACACTGGGGTTAATTCATCGATAGGTGATGCTCGACTTTTGATCGAGACTTTCCCATATAAATTCATTTAATCTGACATCATTTCTCGCCTGATATTCGGGTCTGTGTTAGAGAGTCTGTGTGTGTGTGTGTGCCTATATTGAGTTTACAATTTGCTAAATTACATTATTCGAGATTTTGGGTTTCGCTTGTTATCATTTGATTTATCATTTGTTATTTTCGCTAGATTTGTATAGAAAAAGTTGTCGAAGCTTTCCTTGCTATCCGTTAGTTTCGTACTTGTATTTGTATTTGTAAGTAGGGTACACGACGGCGGGGATAATATGATTAAAGTGTTTACGGCAAGTACTATAAGTAGATATACCGTTAGTTCATGTTCTTATTCTCAGTTTGTTCGTCACTGCTGCTGCTGCTGTAATTGAGACTATCTAGGCTAACAATACGATACGTGGTAAGTTAAGTTAAGTAGTTAAAGGCAAACGTTCCATCTTCTATAACTGGAAATCGAGATCGAGATCAAAGGTGAAAGTGACTGAGTGACCAAGTGACCAAGAAATTAACTGGCAGCGTTAGGAAATCGCTTTCAAAATGTTGGTTCCTATAGATATCTGGTTTGTCCCCAGTTAAGATGAGATTAGTGCTATCTTGATGCAGATATGTTGGCTTTCATCCATCGTTAATGGGTCGTAATTGTGTCGATGTGTTGTGTTTAAAGGTTTTTTAGTGTTTAGGTGTTTTTTGTGGGTGGTTGTATTGTCAACGTGGTGTTTAATTTGTTTTTAGCTTCGGGAGCCAGAGTGATGTGTCCTACGGTGAAGTTTGTTCGGTTTGATTTGTCGATAGTTAATTGTTCTCGTGTTCTCAATGGTCTGCATATAGATTGATGATTACATTATATCGTATATAGTAAACTTTCATATATTATACAGTTTCTGTTATGCTTACATAACTAGACACTTATGTACACTTCTGTCGAGCATGAAGATGTTACTAATTGTTACTTGACTCGCGAACTCGTATTGTTTCCTACTCTTCAGCTGCACCGTAAAACCCGAGGCTCCTGGTATAGGAACTTGTTGGGGAACTTTCTTTGGCGAGAGAATGGGGCGAAAAGGAGGACCCTAACTTATGTACACAAATCGAACGATCGCACAACTGAAATCAAAGCAAAGAGTGCAGCTATATCGTAGTTTACTTGGTCGTTAATCGATTACCTAAGTGGTGGAGGGGTACTCTATCAATTGAATAATCGATCCCTTTTCGTTCTAGTATGCGTTGAAAGATCTGAGGATAATTTAAAGCGCTAAAGAGTTTCCCTCTAGGGTCTACTATCCTCTCGTTCTTGGGGTTATGATATAGGCTTGTATGATATGATTGTGTTGTGTCTTTTGCTTCGTCTTTTGCTGAATGTCTTTGTGGTTGGTTTTCTATAGTAACCGAAAGTCAAATGATAATCTAATGATAAGCCCTAAACTTAAACGAACCTTAAATTTCCATTCTATCAATATTCTTGCTTACACTGGCAGTGATAACTCCATACTTCGTTCTACGATATCTCACGTAATATTTCCACTTCCCGATTAGTGCTTCCTTCTAAGTAAACAATAGGGAACAAAAACGCACTCAATGAAAACACTAATTTCATGCTAGTCAAACATGGTACTCTATAGTTTGTACACACTTGCAACTATGTAAATATGCCTCATAGGGGTATAAGTCATCTATGTCTGATATAATAACAATTTCTGCACTTCATCTAAACCAAAAGCAACATTTAGGAGTGATATTGGAACTATCGATCTACTGTATAAGTACTCGTACTAATGCGCATTCACAGCTGACTTGGGTAAAGCTTGCGTAATGGACTCAATCTATTTTGTCAGGGGCTAGGGAACGTGGGGATATCGTGTAGATTTAACTAATTAAAATAGAGATTGCACTTGTCTGTAGTTGATGTTCGAGTTTATTTTTATCGATAATATCCATATTAGCTGATACGAATGATAGGTAGTGTTCTCTGTTCTCTTTTTGGGTCTATATTGATAGTTCTTTGGTACACGGCTAAGGGCTAGGCAATATAATTTTTAAATCGCAATGCATGTAACTAGAATTTACATGTACATAAATACTTTTAATATATGGTACTTGTATCCATATCATATTTGTATTATCTGTGGTTTATCATTTATTGCTCTACATATTGTATCCGTATCTGTATCTATACTTTTTCCGTTTTGCGTCTGATGCCAATGTTTATGTACAGTGTGATTGTGTGGGTGTATGATAGGCTGATGTTCATGTTTAACTAACTATAACAGAGGCTAGCATATATATCGTCGATAATTGTAAGTAAATGCTGCACTTTGGGTCCAAAGCAGCACTGAATTAGTTGCTTATTCAATTGTAATGCAATTACTCCTTTGCTTTTCTTCCCGTTTCGATTTCATCACATTCGCGCAGTGGGTAAACTAATGGCTGATGAGGGGCTGGGTGGGTCTTACTGGAAATAGTAGCGGATTGACTAGGGGGATGCAGTGCCCGAGCACGTAGTCTACGTTCTGCAGCTCCGACCGACAGAGAGAAAGTGAAGGACAGAAAGCTCTCAAGGGGGAAATTGGGCTAAGAAGGTGTCTTGACTAACGATAAACTTTAAGTTGAGTTCGAGTTTGAGTTCGAAAAAGGATTGATTTAGTGAGTTAGAGAGAGAGTTAAGAGAGTTTACAAAGTACGCTATACGAGCTGACTTTTAAATGCATCCACAATTTGAGTATAGCGGCAACCTAATTACACAATACACATAAATATCAAATAATTTGCATTTCGCATTGCATTTACATGGTGTCATTTACAAATGTGTGTGTGTGTGTTTGTGTTTGTGTTTATAGTGTATGTGTGTGTGAGTCGTAGAAATACTGCATAGTTGGTATTGGTATCGGCATCGGTAGTATACAAAATAGTAGACAGTGCTTTTGGTAATTTCTTGCTGTTTGGTTTTTTCTTTATCGCTTTTGGGTAAATAGTACGGGTGTATTCCTTTTGCCTCATCTGCATCAGTAGATGTGTGTTTATTTTTCGGTTTTTCGGGGGCACTGTTTAGAAAAAGCTCTTCAAGAAGCCAGCTGGCCCAGCCTAAAAATGTACAAAGAGAAAAGTACTTAGGGAAATCCTAATATCTTTGGGTTACTATGAACTTACATCCTGCTGCTGCTGTTGCTGCGTTTGTGCTTGTTTGACTTTGGCTTGAGCGATCTTTAAGGCTCTGGAAAGGGTAAGAACGGAATGAATTCATTAGGTTTTGATCCTTGGAGGATGTATGCTTTGCACTTACTGTTGCAAATCCATGATGGTCTTCTCCTTGGCATTCTGCTCCTCCTGCGACATTTGTACCAATTGCAGCAAACGCTCCGTTTCGGTTGCCGCCTTCTTGTGCTCCTCCTTTGTGTTTTGCAGCTCCTTGACGCATCTGAAATGGAAAAATTATCATATAGAATCATTACTATAAGGTCTTTAAGTATACAACTTTAAAAATCTAGTTTAGGCACTCTTAAACTCAAAAAAACTAAAGGGTATGCAATGTAATATTTATGTTACGTGTATCTACCCAGGGGCGCCAATAATAATAATCTTTTGTAGTGCGTTTTTAAACTTACGCTTCCAACTGTCGCTGAGTGTCCATGAGCTTCTTGTTAAGCTCGCCGGCAGCCGCCGCGCCGCCTCCTTGCGTCTGGAGCGACTTCTCCAGCTGGTCCATTTGCTCCTTGCGTTTGCGTAGTTGGACGTCGAACTCGGACATCTTCTTCTCCTTGTCCTCGATGTCCTTGCGCTTGGCGTCGATCTGCTTGCGCTGCTCGTCGATGATCTTGCGTTCGCCCTCGGTGGCCTTGGCCTGGTTGTCGATCTGCTTGCGCACCTCCTCCAGCTGCTTCTGTTGCTGCTCCAACTGCTGGCGCTGCACGTCGGTGGCGCCTGCTCCCGCACTGGCAGCCTGCTGCAGTTGTTGCATCTGCTGCTGCAACTGTTGCACCTGCTGTTGCAGTTGCTGCACTTGTTGCTGTGCTGTTTGAAGCTGTTTGGCCTGCTCTTGGTTGGACATCTGGGAAAGATACTTTTGGTTATACACACTCTCTACTTTGTTAAGCAGTTAAACCACCTTGCTCTTCTCCAGCTCTGTGACCAGGAGTTCCAGTTGCTGCTGGAAGCGATCCCGCTCGGTGCAGGCCGCCTGCAGCTCGCCCTTGACCTTCTCCATTTCCTTGGCGTCCGCTCCGCCGGCACTTGCTGCGGATTGTTGCTGCTGCGCCGCCTGCTGGTGCTGTTGTTGCATCTGCTGCTGCATTTTCTGCATCTGGGCGTGCTGATCCTTGATGTGTTGGTCCATAAGCTAAGCGGGTAAAAGCCAAGCGAATATTAATTAGTCATGTCTACGCTTTAGTTTTACAAAAGTTTTTGTCCAAACTTTAATAAGAATTCATTCAAAAGTAATTGTAAACACAGAACCCATAATGATCTAACTACCAAATGATAATGTTAAATACTTACATATTGACATAAAAAATGTGTTGAAATAAGTGATTTTAAATGTGTTAGAAAGTTGTTAAGTTGTGTTAAAGACAAAAGCCGTTTTGTGCTGAATTTGACCTGCAGTAGGCTGGGCACATCCACACCAATCCTCACCTGAATGCGCTTGTGCATCTCCTGGGCGGCCTTGTCGGCCATGTCGGCGCGTCCCTTCTCCTGCTCGATGACCTTGCGCCACTGCTCGATCTCCTCGCGACTCGCTCCCGCTGCCGCCGCCGCTGCCTGGGCCTGTTGGGGTCCGGCGGCGGCCAGGGCGCGCTCCGACTCCTGGAGCTTCTGTTGCAGCGCCTGGATCTCCTTCTGCATGGCCTGGATCTCGGCGGGTGAGGCTCCGGCGGGCTGGGCGGCGGGAGGCGGCACCTGGTGGCCGTTGCGCAGCTTGCGGTTCTCCTCGCGCGTCTTCTGCAGCTCCGCCTCGGCGCTCTGCAGCTCCTTCTGGAAGTTCATGAGGATCTCCTGGCTCTTCTCCAGCTGCAGCACCAACTGTTCCCGCTCCACGGCCAATTGCTTGACATCCGACTCGAGCTTCTGGACATGCTTCTCCAGCTGCGGATGGGGGGCACCACCGGCGGCTCCTCCGGCATTTCGACTGGACTGACGCAGGGACTCACGCTCGGCCTCGGCCTTTTCGAGGCGATCGTGGAGGCGACCCAACTCGGCGCCCATGCGCTCGAACTCGATGCGCGTGGACTCGGTGTTCTCCTGCTGCTTGGCCAGATGCATTTGCGCCTTCTCCAGTTCCTTGGCCAAGCGACCGGCCTCCAGCTCGGTGGCGTCGCGCGACTGCAGCGCCTTTTCGAGGCGATCCCGCAGGCGGTCGATCTCCTGCCGCTCGCCAGCGGACAGAGCGGATGAGGAGGACGTCGACGCTCGGACCGGATCGCCGGGGCTCACCGAGGACTGTTGCAGGCGCAAACGATCGACCTCCTTCAGCAGTTTCTCGTGCTTGTCCCGTGCCTTCTCCCGCTCGATGTGGGCCCGCTCCAGCTCGGATCGCTGCTTGTCCTGGTTGGCCAGCATCTTGGCCACCTCGCCCTTGGATAGTTCCAGCTGCAGACTGGTCTCGTGCAGCTTCGACTCCATGTTCTGCACCTCGTTCTCGATCTTCTCGTACTTGTCCTTGTACTTCTCGAACGACTCCGACTCGTACTGCGACTTGCCGCGTATGGTCTCCAGTTCCATGAGCGTCTTGTCCAGCTTCTCGCGCAGCCGCTCGTTCTCCTCCTTGAGGCGTCGCGTCTCCCGGCCAAAGGTGTCCGTGTCCTGGAGCTTGCGCAGCTCCACCTGACTCTTCTCGTAGCGATCGCGCATCTTCTCCAGCTCCACGGCATAGTGGGCGGCCTCCTCCTTGGCCGCCTCCACACTGGCACCGGCCTTGGTCTGGGCGGCATGGGCCCGCTCCAGTTCGTAGGTGACCCGCTCCAGCTCCGACTGGAAGTGATCCTTCTCGCCCTGGGCCCGCCGGATGTCCGTTTGCAGCTTGTCGAAGCGATCGCGACTGTGCTCCAGCTCGCTGCGCGCATTATCCTCGCACTCCTTGGCGCGGCTCAGCTGGAGCGCCGCCCGATCGCAGGCCTCCTGCAGCCGGGTGCTCTCGTCCTGCAGCTTACGCAGATCCTCGCGAGCCTTGCCGGCTGCCAAACCGGATCGTTCCGCCTCCACCTCCAAGCGGGCGCGATCCGCCTCGGCTGTATCGCAACGCGACTGCAGGCGATATATCTCGTTCTGGGCTCGATCGTACTTCTCCAGCATCTTCTCGAACTCCTTGTTGGAGGTGTCCTTCTCGTCGATCAGCTTCTGGCTGGCATACAGCGCCTTGTCCAGCTTCTCCTTGAGGATCTCCACCTCGGTGACAGCATCGTCGCGCTCCATCTGCAAGTAAGTTGTGGTACAGAGGGTTACATAAAGTGTTTCCAGCTTGCAATGGAGTTTAGCTACTGATTTACACAAACAGCCAATTTTTCTGGTTTTTTTTCAGTTCAGTTCTCATGCGGTTTTTCAAACAATATGCAGTACAGACAATGTAGTTTAGTATAGAGTTTAGTAGGGGTGATGGCCAATTGTTTTGGGTTTTAGTTTTGCTCGACGAGGATACCTGAAGAATTTGCGTTCGCTGATGGGGAAGTTGGGGGGCAGTTGGGTGTCAATTACCTGGAGTTTCTGCTGAATGGCGTGCGACTTCTCGTAGCGCTCCTTGAGGACCTCCAGATCCGTTTGCATCGCCTCCCGATCGCGGGCGGCCTTCATCAGGAGGGTCTGCGCCGATTCCGAGCGCTCCTTGAGCGTCTCCAGCTCGTCGGAGAATTGATCCCGCTCCTTCTGGATGCGACCCAGTTGCACCTGGTATTTCGTAGTTGTGTGTTTTTTTTTTTATTGTGAGTGATGTGGGTTGTGACAGTCGAAAGATAGTTTCGCATACGTAGAGATATATGTTAGGGATAAATAGTTATAGTTATGTACAAGGCGGGTTAGAGGTTAGGGGTTTATTGGGGTTTAAGCAATAGCAATCACATCGATCTAAGCGAGGTTTCAGTGGCATGTTTAATAGGTGTTAGTTGGTTAATAGTCTATCTCTGGGGGTTAGCACAACACAGTTACGTTTACAGTCACAGATTTTCGGTTAGCTAGTCTCTTCGAAGATGGGTGTGGGTGTGTGGTTTAGAGTGTGGGTGGTTCATTTGGGGGGCTGGGACTGGGACCCGGGCATACCTGCGTCTTTTCCAGCTTCTCGCGTATGCGATCCGTGTCCAGGGAGAGTGTCTCTCGCTCCTTCTGCATCCTGGCTGCTTGGCCCAGTGCCTTGTCCAATTGCGACTGCAGGTTGTCGTAGTCGTAGGTGAGCTTCTCCTTCTCCAAAACCAGACGTCGGTTCTCCGTGCTCGCCTTGTCCAGCTTGTCCTGCAGATGATCGACCTCGTTCTGGGCCTTGTCCAGCGAGTTCTGCAGCTTCTCGTGCTGCAGCTGCGACTTGCCCAACGTGGCCTGGGTGCGCTCCATCTCCTCCTTGATCTTTTCCACCTCGGAGAAGGCCTGTGCAACGGATTGTGGTTGGGGTGAGTGAGGATGGTTGGGTGGTTGTGGGGTTTTTTTTTGGGTTGGATGCTTAGCTATTGCTAAACGGTTTTTTTTTGCCTACCCGATCTCGGTCGGCGTGGATGCGCGAGACACCGCTCTGCGCCTTCTCCAGCTCCTGGCGCAGACTCTCCTGCTCGCCCTGGGCATTCTCCAGTTTCGCCTTGAGCCGGTACACCTCGCCCTGGCTCTTCTCCAGCTTCTCCTGCAGGGCGGCCGCCTCCTCACGTGCCCTTTCCGCATCCGACTGTTTTAGTTTTGGTTTCGGTTTCAGGTTTCAGGTTTTTCGGTCGGATTTACGTTATCAATCGATCGTAGGGGATCGAAGGGTTTATCATGTTGTCGGTAGGGGTAGAGTGGATGTTGGATAACGGATATTATTTACAGGCCATTATGTGGGACAAAGGTTCTTAAATGACTGATTCGACTGACTGACTGACTGACTGACTGAATGTCTGACTGATTAGTAGACACGAAACAGAGGATTAAGGTGACAAACGACAAATATAACGACAAATAGTACTTAAATTACGATAACGATTACGAACACGATCACAACGTCTAGCGAGCGATAGATAGCGATTTATGCTGCGAGCGGTTGACATTGAGAGAGATATAGCGCAGGAATCGAGAAAATCAAGAGAAAGGTGGATGGTGTGGAGAACACAGCTTTTAAAGGATGTGGTTTTCAAGGAAGTAAAAGATTGCGTATTTAGTTTATAGGAAAAAGTTGGAATCTTAAGGAAGATTTTTATATTAGTTTAAGATTTAACGAAAAGTACTTAAAAGGCTCAGCTTTTTATGGAAGTAGTTTTTAAGGAAGTAAAAGATTGCCTATATAGTTTATGGCAAAAAGATGATATTATCTTAAGGAAGATTTTGATATTAGCTTAAGATTTAAGGAAATGTATTTTTAAAAGTTTTTTAAAGGCATTATAGGAACAGGAAAGTAGAATAATTGTGATTGTTGTAAAAACTTGCATATTTATTTAAAAACTAACTCCTTACGTAAACATATGAATGACAAGGAAAAAGCCAGGAATTCGTTTGGAAACACACGGACGGAAAATGAAAGAGAAAAATTCTACAAAATGTAATTGTTGAATAGTTTACAAAACACTTTAATCGAATTTGGAAAACGCAATACTATTATGGAATGGTTAAAGTGAAAGGAATAATGACATGGAACAGACGGACATGGAAATACTGGTTCAACACATGGCGGGCATTTAAGAATGAGTTCGCGATGAAGTAGACAACCACAGATGGCTCATTAGTGCAAGAGGAAAATTAGGGGAAATTAGAGAAAGTGCGAGAGCAAAGTAAGGCAAAGTGTGCGTTTGAAATGCTAGCGGATGTGTGGGCGTCAATGTTTTTGTGAGAGCGAGTGAGCAGTTGAGTCAATTAACTAGGAATATAAGCAGCTTTCCGCTTCCTTCTGTCGTTTTACTTCGTGTCTGTGTGTTGGTGAAAGTCCATAGGAAAATGCTCCAAAAGCTGAGCTGCTCGAAGGATACTTTGTCATACTTTGCTTTCATCCGGTTTTGGGGGCAGGTTTCATTTTGTGTTTTTTCTCGGGTTTTCATAAAATACCGGAAGTGTGGCAGATGAGCTCGAGGCATTATATCGTACAAGGTCAATCGATGTATGTTGCTGTATGTTTATGCTATATTTATAGGCATGTGTGTATGGGTATGTATATGCTGGTATGGCTATGTTAGTACTTCAGGCAATGCAAGTTACATTAAATTGAACAAGTGACAGATTGCAACTAGCTTTTTTTTTGGGTATTCTTTGGATTACTTTGGCATAGTCAGATGCAGTTCAAGTTTGCAATCGAATTCAATTACGGTTAGTTGCGTTACTAAAAACTTGTTTGATTGATTGATTGTTTGGAAGCGGTTTTACTCACAAAACGTTTTTCAGTTTCGCCCTATATATAGAGAATGAATGTAAGCACAACGGTTTAGATAGAGTTTGGTTTTAGTATACATTGTCTCAACGGTGGTATTCGCAATAAATTGAACATTTACAGTTTACTACGTTTACATTTACGGTTACGGATTACGTTAAAGTTACGAAAGAAGCAAAAAAAATAAAAGTAGATTAAATCGAGTTGAACAACTTTATCCCTAGCCCCGTGTTTTGGCCATAGCAAGTGCTCGGGTTTGGTATTGTGTGTAGTTGGGATGGCATGTTGCAGCAGAGAAAGTTATAGACAGGTGGGTGGGGTCCCTCGCTCGATTGTGTTCTGTGTGGGTGTGAAGAGATCTCCTCATTGCCAGGCGAAAGTTTGGTCCATCAACAAAGCACACGCACACCGATTTACGATTTATATTTATATATAGTATAGTTATATACACACACAGAATAGTTGTATATGAGAATTGCACTTGCAATTGCGATTCGGAGTTCGATTTATACAGTAAAGTATACGTAAATAATATATGTAAGGCTAAACTAAAAGAGCATTCAGATATGCATATCGATATATGTATATGGCTGTCTCGGTTCGCAGGCAAATGGGTGAGTGTTTGGACCATACCTGTGTGACTCTCAGCTCGGCCTGGGTCCTTCGCAATTCGGCCGAGGCCTTGTCGGCCCTTTCCTGGGCTCGATCCAGCTCCTGGGACGTGGTCATCGTGGTCCTGCCAAACGTTGTCTTTCGGCGAAACGGGAAACATTCAAATTAGTTGATTGTCCTCGAAAATAGTGGGTATAGTTAGGATAACAAGTGCAAAACAACAATCGAAAGCAGTTTAAGGCATTAGCAAATGTGTTCATAAAGATGTTCTCGAATACGTTTGATGTATGGATGAGTCCAGCAGGCAAGCTGTTTACAATGGATCCAATCCATGAAGCTGTGAATGAATTAATGAAAGTTTGGTATTTTCTTTTTTTTTTTGCTTGGATTTGGACAGATATTTCGCTGTGCTTTGGGTGCATTTGACGCTTGGTTCTCTAAATTCGATTTATATTCGAATGGCGTGAGCATTTTTTTGTTTTTGGGTCTAGAAAGAACTAGGCTGCTATTGCGTTTTGTGGACTAGGCTGGGTCAGCGGCTTTGGCCGACTTACCGATATCTTGCCCGTTTCGAACATTAACTTTTGTACATTCTGCAAGAGTACGATACGAACATAGTTTTATATCTTAATCTTAGGGTTATACGTATGTATGCATGTTCGGCGGCAATTCAACTCATTCACACCTTCGGTTGTCTGCACAGCGATTAAATCAAAACCCAACTAGGCGAGTGCTGCTAATCCTGTCTAAGTATCTAAGTGCGCAATATGTCAGGGCTTTATCGGATCTGAAATCGTTGGTGGTGGGTGGTGGTTTGCTTGGTTGCTTGGTTGGCTAAGTAAGACTTCAGCCTGCTGGCTCTAAATGGCGAATGAGAGTTCAGTTGAGGGCAGGCAAACAAAATATTACGTGTTCTGGATAGTAACGAGTGCTGGTTACATCGATATACAATGGATATATGGTTTTGCGATACATAAAAGGTGCGTTTTTGCATAATAGCGATATTCGACATGTTTTCGATTAAGACTAATTAGTATGTTCAACATTATGATTTATATTATCTTTATAAAAACATTATCGATAAGTTAAATTCTCAAAATAAATACCAATAATATTCTAAGGACAATACAGTTTTATGAACTTTGATTAGAACTCAAACTACTTTAACCTCAACATTTATATTCTAGGGTGAATACTTTTCACATTTTTATAATTACTGATAAGATTTCAAACTACTTTACTCGAAAACTACGACTTTCGATATTATGCAATCTAGTTGGTAATTGGAAGTTTGGAATTCGGATTTTTGGGCTTACTTTGTGTAGTGTGGTCTGTTCTTCTAGCTGCATCTATATTTGGTTTTTATTGAGTGAGTTTTTTTATTTTTATTTTTAGGTTGATTGGTTGATGTTGTAGTTATTATTATTATTGTTGTAGTTGTTGTTAGGTAGTTGGGATGCGTAATGTGTACATGTAAATACATATTCAGATACAGATATATATATATAGATATAGATGTAGATACAGATAGCACATAGATATGTGTATGCATATGGGTTCATAGATTATCGATAGCAGTATGTATGCAAGTCTCTCGATTATATGTACACAGCGCAAACATACATACGAATAGACTGATAATAAGTAATAGTTATTGGGTTAAGTCGGGGGAACTGGTCATAATGCACGAGTACCTGCGAACGTTCCAGATCGTGTTTCAGCCGCTCGTTCTCCAGTTCCAGGCGGGCGATCCTCTGCTTGGTGGACTCCCAGTCGGCGCTGCTCCGTCCCATTTCGCAGGTGGCCTTCTCCAGCTCGGCCTTGGACTTGCCCAGTTCACTCTGCGAGGCCTCCAGCTTGATCTCCAGCCGCTCCCGCTCGGTGACCGCCCGCTCCAGTCGCGTCTGCAGCTTCTCCACCTCGCTCTCGGCGGCCCGCAGCTTGATCTTGTAGTCGGCCACCTCGCGCTCGTGGAGATCCCGCTCCTCTTGCTTCTCGTGCTCGGCGCGGTCGCGCTGATCCCGCAGCTGGGCCATCTGCTTCTCCTTGTCGCCGATGGCCTCCTCCAAGCTGGTCAGGGCGCCCTCGGAGCTGCTGTGGTGGGCCTGCATGGCCGACAGACGGGCTCGCGCCATGTCCACCTGGTTGTCCTTCTCCTTCAGCAGGTCCTCCAGGTTCTCGATCTGGTGAAAGAGAGCGGGGACAGGGATTGAGGAGCTGGCACCCAGAAAAACGACTGCCCAATGATGTCCTAAGCTCAACGTAAGTACATGTGTCTATAAAGCTGCCTTAAACCTGAACTTAGAATTTCATAAAGTGGTTTTTCGGTAAACTTTAGAAATTTAAGATACTGGTGAGATCCGACATTACTATTTTTATTGACCCATTAAAATTATGTTCTATTAAAAAGTACAAAAGTATATTTTTAAGTGCTTAAAGATCGTTAGATATTTTTAAGAAACCTTTTCAGATTAGGAACCTTGACATTACCCAAACTTATAATTTTGTTATACATTTTTAGTCTTTGTAAAATAAAATGTGTTGCTCTTATTCTGCCCAAGCTTTTTGTAATTTTAATATAATCAAACATTATTGATTTCTCATTCTGATGTATTCTTAGAATAACAATTTTACTGTCTGTTTTTAAACACCTAAACACCCAAAGTAAAAATGTGTAACTACCATTTTTAAAAATAAATAGACAAAAACCTTTAGCTGTTATTCAGGACCAGATTTAAATAAATATTTAAGAAAATAATACTTCTTAGTACAAACTCCCCTAGTTGCACTTTGTCAATATTCTACATGAGCAACTAATTTTTCAGGATCTGGGAGGGATTGGGGGTAGGCAGTCTAACCTTGCGCTGCAGAACGCTGATTTTGCGGTCCTTGATGTCCATATGGTCCTTAAGCTCGGTGAGCTCGCTAGTGAGGCGATTGCGCTCCTGGACCGTCTGCAGCGTGCCCTGGGTCTTCTTCTCGATCAGGCGGTTCTTCTCCTCGAGGCGGGCGCGCATCTCCTCGACGTCCGTCTGCAGCATGTTGTAGTGCTCCTCTTTGGCACATAGCGACTCCTTGAGCACCGCTATGTGCCGCTGGTAGTCCTGACGGGAATTACTTTACTGTGCAAACGACAAACTTGGGCGCGAGCGTTTCAATTTACCTGATGCTGCTCCTCTAGGGTTTTCATTTTGGCCGCCATCGCCAGGATCTCTTGATCCCTTCTCTGTATTTCAAGACGGAATTCGTCCAGCTGGGGTTCGATACGGTTGGTTTGGGAGTCGGGGTGGTATGATTTTTTTTTTTTTTTTGGGTGGTTGGAAAGGAACAAGTACAGATAACATTAGATCAGAAAGTGTTGCCACACATGGGGTTGCCTGGGCCGGGGACTGATCCTTAGCCAGGACTACAGATACGTGGTGGTTGGTGTTCTTGGTCTGCTTGTTGTCTCAAAGTATCATTTGCTGTTGCAACTGAGTGTGAAATGAGCGATTAAGAGGTGCGGACAGCGAGCTTACGCTTTGTAGAGGATGAGAGTTGGTGGATGGAGAATGTCTTGGGCCCCCCAATTCCCCAACATATTGGTTTAGTTTGGTACTCGTTATCGTATCCTAACCGCCCTCGTTGGGTGTCCTTTTCGGTATTATCGTGTGGGTGGGTGGGGGGTGTTTGGGCGTGGTCTGTTTTGGTGTATGTCTGATGGTTTTCTTTTTTTCGGGTTCGGAGAGGGGGTGTTTTGAACTAGTTAACTAGTTGGGTTTCTTTTTCGGAACGATATTTGACGTTCGGTTTTCGTATGTAATTTTATTGTTTGCTTTCGAAAAGTTTCCATTTTATAATGCTTACAGCTTAAGTTAAGTTTAACAGATTTCGAGAATATTCTTGCTTGTCGGAATTAAGTCTGAATGCAATCTTAATTAGGTTTACAGTTAAATCATTGTATAAATAGTAAATCCCGTGGGATCATAAATGTATATGCGTATAATCAGAATATTAACCATAATTATTCAAATACAATACAAGTATATAGAGAGTTATGTATAATGTGTATATCTTATATCAATATTCAAATGCCTCGTTTCTTGTTCTGTTCGTCGTCTTGTAGAAAAAGGTTATACAAATCAAACTGAGTCGAAGAGGAGAATCAAGTTTGGCTGAGCAACAAGAACAGAAGTAGGAAAAGCTAGTGGATAGTATCTTTGTATCTACTTATCTATTCACACGCTCGCACAGAAGTGCTGTCTTTCGAATTGGCTAGTGATAAGCTTTTTATCTTTCGGTTACGCTCACATTCACTGACGTACATATATTTCTATATATGTGTATATATAAACAATTGAAAAAGAGTTTATCTATGAACACAATTTCTGTTTTTGTTTTACGATTGCTGCATATTTTAGGGGTTCTCGAACTACCAACTACGACTAGGCAAAATTAAAGTAACTCCAGATTCACTTCTCTCCGTATCGATTCATCTAGTATATATTTAACCACTACTTTAACAAGAATTTTTACTTTCTTTGAGAAATATCTATGCATAAATTTTCAATTTTTTTCAAGCACAAAAAACAAGTTAGCACGTAATAATCGATAGTCCGACTAAAAGATAGATTTACTACTCAAAAGTATTCTGTAGTTTAGCATGCATTCATTGTGAATTTCGAATCAATTTTGGTTTCTTTTGGGCATGAAATAGAACAAAATGTTTGCCAGAGGTTCAATGGATTAGCATTCTATATATTTTGTATACTTATCGATGCCTACCGATTTTTTTGAGTGTATAAAGCGCTTCTTCGAATACGAAATACAAACACTAGTTGAGTCGAATACATAATAATACAATACAATATTCGCATAGACACATTTTGAATGCTTCTTCGTTTCACTTTGCTTAATGTCTCAGACACACAAAAACTAATTCAACCAGTTCGAAACCGATGCGATTCGATTCTATTCGATTCGTTTCGATTTGATCGCCACCTATTCGGCTCTAGATTGCACATATAAATTTCCATGTTTTCGTTCATAATTGACCTTCATTGCTAATCACACGCTGGTTTGTTTATAACTCTTGCATTTGCTTTTGCTGGGGAAGGCTTTGTTTGGGAGAGTTAAAACTTAGTGTTACAAAGAGGAGGCGGAAGAAGGTTAAGTTATGTAAATAATGGCTCTATGCAACTTATGCCCACTAATGCGAGAGAGAAGGTTATAATTGGGTTAGGCTCCTGGCTAGTTAGTAGGTAGTTAGTAGGTTGGGTATAGGAGGTCCTTGATGGCGTGGAATTACTATGACCATGCAAGGGCTCGTTACTTATTCGTTTACGCTTAGATATAGATAGAGTGTGTGTCTGTGCTGCACTAACAATTGGCTAAGTTGTCGAATGTTCATACTAAGTACGAGTTACTCTATAGGTTTTGATTTAATAAAATTTTAAGCTTCTTTTTTGGTTTTTTTCCTTTTTTCGTTTTTTTGTTTTTTGCGTTTTGTCAGCTCGCAAAACTTGCAACTTTCACAGGCGAGACAAGTTTAAAGTAAATGTTATTTCATTTCGCATTTCTCTTCTTGTGTATATATAAATTGTTGTTATTAGTGAGTAAATCTCATTTAGTTTTATATACAGTCTTTTATCTTTGAGAGTCAAGAGCAAGGTTCTACAATTTTCAAAAAAAAAACATCCACAACAATTCGAATTCTCAGCCGAAATCCGGCTTTCGGTTTTCTTTATGCCCTGAGTGCTCTATGCAAAGAACGAAAATGTTTAACCGAAAATCGAAGTAACTTTAAAGTATTCTTGCTTTTTCTTTTGTTTCGCTTTTACTGTTGCTACTTTAAAATGGCACATGAAACAATAGTTCTCCCTCTCCACACTCCATTGCGAACTTTTCTTAGCCTAGATCTACTAAGAGTATTCCACATTATTATCATATATGTTGTATATTGTATGTATAATACTTGGTGTCTTATCTTCTCCCTACGCGAGAACTGGTTGATGCAGAGGAAAGCGTTAAATGCAGATCGGCCAGCCGTCTATATAGGATTGGGTATCTGGTATTGGATATTGGATATTGGGTATACCTATGCCCATACCCATACCCATGGTATATCCATACATAGACGCTCTGACCTTCCAATTGGGTTCGTTCGTTCGATCGATCGTTCTCTGATTGTTATCATAGGATACAGATGATGCTGATGCTAATGCTGATTGATGATCATATTCGATGGTGGCGAGTTGAATTTCGATGTTGGGGGTGGTCAGATTTCGGGGTGAATGGGGATTTCTTTAGGAGTCTAGGGATAGCGTGTCTACGTCAAATTTAAAACTTACTTGTCGCTTATGCTCTTGCGGCAGTTTCGGGTAATCTAAGTCTAGTTTCGAGTATGGCAGATGGTGGTGATGGTGGGCTTGATGCGGCTGCTGCTGCTGATGGTGCGAATGCGAGTGCGGATATGCCGTGTGATGCGAATGATGCGAGGAGTGGTGCGGATGCGTATGCGGATGCTGATGCGGATGCGTATGTGAGTGGGCCGCATGATGCAGTCCGTCCACATAATCCCTGGCACTACTGGCCAACGTTCCACCAAATGGCCCGCTCGTATTGGCCAATGCCGCCAATGGATGTGTCTGCAGGTGATTCTGATGCTGATGCACATGGTACTGGTACTGCGGATGCATCTGCTGCTGCACCGACGCCTGGATGTGCGAGTGTCCCAACGGCGGTCCCTGTGCTCCTCCTCCGTAGTGCTGCGTCCCCGCAAACTGTTGCTGCAGATTGTAGGCCAGTGCCGCAGCCGATCCCGATCCCGTTCCCTGATTCTGGTAGTACTGCGATATGGCGGGATTGGAGGCGTGCAGCGACTGGTGGGCCATCAGCTGGCGCTGCTGGAAGGGGGCCAAGGGATTGCCGTAGCCCAGATCGCTCTGGTAGGGATTCCCGTAGCCCCCGTACTTGCAGCCATAGCCCGTCGCCGCCGCGTTCGTGGTCGGGTAGCTGGACACCAGGTTCGTCACCGAGTAGGCCGGCCGGAGTCTTGCCGCCGCCGCAGCGGCACTCTGGGCCGCTGACAGTTGCGTGGGCAGCACTTGCGGCACCTGCGCCTGCGGCTGGAAGTACATGTTCGGCTGCGAGGAGAAGCTCGTGGACATCTGCATTAGGTTGTCGTTGAGGTAGGGCGGTGAGGTGTCACCCGGATGCAGGGTCGGATAGCTGGACACCACTCGGCCCAGGCCCATGCCCACTCCGGTGCCCAGGGGCGTGGTCACCAGCTGGCCCAATTGGCGGGCCTGATTGGTGAGATTGAGGATCTGCGAGCTGCGCGATATCGACTTGTGTGCCTCGTTCAGCAGGTTAACGATATTCGAGGAGCTGGTCTGTTGCAACGGTGGTGCCGGATAGCCGTAGACATCATTGTACATGGTGGCCGAGGGCAGGCCAGCGATGCTATAGCGCCTCCTTCGGATCGGCGAGGTCTGGCAGGGACCGTATATCTGCGGATCGTACAGTCCGTAACCCCCGACTGCCGCCGATGAGGAGGTCGATGGGCCGTACAGGTCGTAGCCGCCGACGGGGGGGCCGTAACCATTGCCCGATCCGTAGGACAGGGGACCCGGACCCAGAGTTCCCGGACCCAGGGATCCCGGCCCGTAGTACTGCCCAATAATGTCCGGCAATGGGGGGCTGCTTCCGCTGGCGCCCGTGTAGTTATTGTACATCTGAAACGGGCGATTTCAAATGGTTGGTTGCTGTAACTGCTGTGACTGACTGACTGACTGGTTGTTTTTTTTTGGGTTTTTGGTCGGTTTCTGGTATTTTGATATCTGTTATCTGTGGTGTCTATATAGAGAGCTCTCTTGGGTCTGTTGTTGTTGTTGTTGTTATTGGTTGGTTAGGTCTGGTGTTATCTGTTAACTGATTCGATTTTCCGGCTTCGATGCGGTTTCGCTCACAACACAGCTTTTGGCAGCTTTGGCCTTTGCTTTCATGATCATGATCGTGGCTTAACAAACATTAGCTATCTATATATGTACATATATATATATATATAGAGGTGGTTATGGCTTACATTTAACATTACGAAATGCGATTTTTAACCGAAACACTTACGGACTATTCTGGCCCCATATATATGTATATTTTGAAACGTGATTAATTTGCTTAGTTCTTGTTATCATTATTTTTGTTGTTTTTCTACAAGTTCTTCAGGTTTGTTTCTTTTGTTCGACTTTACACTTTTTGCGCTTAATTTACAATAGGGTTTTGTAATAGTATGAGATTTGTTGATTATGAGTTATGATTTTTCGGTACTGTTTGGTTCTCTTTTTTTTCGTTTTTTCCATTGGTTAACTTTCGTTTGGCTTTATATGGTTAGTTATATAGTTAGTTCTGAGACACTTTCAACGGCTCTTGTTGGCACCCAAAAAAAGTTCAACAAGGGCGGGGGTGGGGGGTTGGACGTAGTTGTGTGTGTGTGTGTTTAATGTCTAAGTGTGTGTGTAAGAGAAAGGGGGTGTGGTTTAGGTTTTGGGGGGCGGAGAGGAGGCGCAACATGAAATGTGTGTCACTTGGTTGACAGCCACGAGGATGTCGCTGGTTTTTGTATCTATTTATGTGTGGATGGCTGTATCTTTGTAACTGAATGTGTGTATGTGTACCTGTAAGTGTGTGTTTGTTAATGTATGTGTGTATGTGTGTCGATGCTTCTCTTTTGTTGCTGTATTTGACTTGGTTTTCGTATGATCAACGTGGCATACAAATGCAACTCGGATTCTGATTTCGTATTTCTCAGGTATATTTTTGGGTATCGGTATTCGGTATTTTTTGTACAATTTGCTTTCAGTATTTTGTTTGTACGCAGAAAAGAAACATAAATATTCGTATAACAATATATAGTTCAGATGCATTATAGAAATAACGTGCAAAAGTATATTTGTTAAATAATTTGGTTCGGTGTGTTGGAGAAAACAAACAAAATATATATTCATATAGTTGTTTAGACAGACAGTGAGCGAGAGAGAGAGATAGAGAGAGAGTGTGTGTGAAAGAGACAGTCAGAGTTTGGAGATTGAGTTTTAGAGAGAGACGGTTACATAGAGACTTAGAGAGTTGGAAAGAACGCAAGTTGTGTGTGTCAGACAGAGCAAAGTATCTTTTCTTTTATTTAGCCTTTCTTGGTAAAAAGTGTTTTTCTTTCAGTGTAGGTGTGTTGGTGAGAGAGGGTCGGAACTGTGTGTGAGTGTGAGTGTGCGAGTGGAACCCATCATGAAGAAAGTGTTGTTGCTGTTGTTGTTGCATTGCGTGTTGTGTGAGAGTTTGAGTTCGATTTCGGTTTCGATTTCGAGTGGATCCGGTCAACGTTCGTAAGATTAGTTAGTAAGTTCGATATTTACAAAAACCAAAAAGTAATATATCATACACAAACACGAGCACACATCCATATGTGCACACAGACACAAGTGAATGTGTGTAAGTCAGGTGCAACGACACGGCAACAATTGTTGCCTATTTTTCGGCCTTGAGGTGGGCTTGGAATCTGGGGTTTTCGGTGGGTTTTTGGGGGTTGGGTCGGAAGATCGTGGGCTTGGGGTCTCGAATCTCGGGTCTCGGTCTGTCTTAAGCGGAGTAACGCAATCAATATCAAAAACAACATACTGCAGAGTAACATATTTATATATATAGTATAGTTGTAATTGCCGATATTCGTATATATATAAAGAGCGACAGAGACAGAGAGAGAGAGAGAGATGGAGAGGAAGAGAGAGTGAGTGGGAGAAACAGAGACAGAAACAGAGATGTAGGAGTATATATTCATATGTTTGTAAGCCATATTGTGGATATATATACACGTCGTAATTGTTTTATCATTTTATCGTCAAAGAGTTGTCAGTATATGAAAGATTCGCTTTCTTCTTCTTTTCTTTCCTTTCTTCCGTCTACTCGAAGTATTAATCAATTTGTTATTGCTTTCCCTTTGGTCTTTTTTGTCATTTATATTTATTTTGATATTATTATTATTTTTTTTGGTATCGTGCGAAAATATTACAAAAGCATATTGTAAATAGTTGCATACGTTTTTCGATTCTTGGTAAACAAATTTGTTTTTATATTTGTCATTGCATTTCTTCAATTGTTTTTTTGGTTTTTTTTTTTTTTTTGGTGATTGCTTTTAGAACAACAACAAAATATATGTTTTTTAGATGTAATTAAAAAAGATCAATTCTGGAAACAAATATATATTTTGAATTCATTAATTAAGTCGCTTGATTTTGTTATTTATTAGACTGCTTGCCTATGTTTTTAGACGTTTTTGTGTGGATTTGATTTTGGTTTATAAAGCCAATTATTGGAGCCATTACAATCGATAAGTTTCGTGAAAAAATCATCTGCATCTTTTGGCAATAAAATGACAAAAGAATTATTCTTGTATGCTAAACAGATCACAGTTCACTAATGGTTTGTTAATTCGTATCTGATCATTTCAGTTGGGATTTTGCTTTCTGATTTTTGATATATTTTTTATGTTGATTTCTAAGGTTTGCTCTTTGGTGTGTTGGTTAAATGTTATATATTACTTTTTGATTATGTAAGAACAGTAAGAAAAAGGAGTTCAAAAATCAGCGTTCCGTTCAAAATGCTAAGTTTAAAGTTTAACAAACATTGTGTGAGTGTGTGGGTATGTGTGTGGGGTCATTAAATAAAATTAAAGTACAAAGCGAGTGTAGAAAACTATACTAAATACTATAATTAAACAATTGCACGAACAACATTAAGACACAAAACATACATTTATATATTTTAAGGCTTGAAGTAAAACGAAGATTAATATAAATTTGGGGAAAGGATGCCAAGAGAAAGAGAGAGCGAGAGAGAGAGAGCGAGCGCAGGTGAGCAGAACACTTAAAATAATGCCAAGAACTTTTCCTCACCCACGCACAAACACACAAACACATGGAAATGGCGGACCGAAATAACAACATTTTGGTTACAAGGTTACGTATACGTCACGTGTGTTTGTGTGGGTCTACAATAGAAAGAGAGGGGCATCAAAGGCAAGGGAGGGACAGAGAGAGAGAGAGAGGAGAAAGAACAAAGCCAAAGTAAGAGGCGAAATCAAAAGCCGAGTGGGAGTGTGTGTGTGTTTCTGTGTGAGTTCGTAGAAGTGTGTTAAGTGCCAAATACATGTAGCCGAGTGTATTTTCTGGCTTTCCAACCATTTCGTTGCTATTTTCGTTTGTTGCGTGCCCAGCAAAAATCATAAAATTAAAAAACAAACTCATAAACGGAGTATTGCAAACTGAAAAGAAAGCTGGGGTAAAACAATTTCAACTTTTATGACTCCTTGCGAGGGCGTGAGGGGGAAGAAGGAGGAAGAGAGAGAGAACAAGAGACAGAGAGAGAGAGAGGGAGAGAGAGAGAGACTGTGCCCCCACGACATTGACATGTGAACACATCACATCACGCAGAACAAACAAAGGGAATGCAAAACATTAAAGTGGTCGAGAGGGAAGTCCCGCTTTTCAATGGCCGATCCCCTTTCCCTCGCGTTAATCATGACAAATCATCACGTTCACGTTTCGTTTCGTTTCGTTTGTGCCTGTGTTTCTGTGAGCAAGGCCAGACAGAGTCCTTTTCCCCATTGTGTCCTGTCTGCCATCCACTACCCATCAGCCCCCTCCCACCATTCATCCCCATCCCACTTTAACCCATTGTCAGTCGCTGTCCCATCTTTCGCCTCCACGCACGTGCCTGATGGAAATGTATTTCAAGTGACATTTATGAAGTGCATCCCTGTCGGTTCGCTCTTTTTTCTTTTTTAGAATTTCGGTAGGCTTTTCTGCTAATGAGCATGGATGCCAAAGGGGGGGTGTTAAGGCAAAAGGGGTTGCCTTGTCGCCAAACTGGTGTTAAGGTTATATGCGCCTGTGCTGTCTATGCTTCTTGCACTTTTCTGCAAGTTCGCCCTGTTGCCGAATTTCACTAATTACGTAGAAAAGCAGGCAATGCGCTTTTCCCTTTTTTAGCCAGCATTGGCGCATTACTGTGTGCTTGTATGTGTGTGTGTGTTAGCCTGAAAGTCTGTTGGTGTGTGCTGATATGTGCCACTATATGTGTGAAATTTAATTTGCAACTCGAGGCCACAAAACGACAGGCTAAACAGAAGAAGTTTAACCAGTTTAGTTTGTTTTGCGTGCTAGCTGCTGCACATAAAAAAAAAGTTTAGAACATGACATTCCCATTTGCACTTGATTAATTGGTTGCTTTCCGGATAAAATACTCAAAGGGTATCCTTAAGCCGTATTAAACATTAATTAAATTATTCAAATTTTAAAATATCAATTACAAAATCTTAGTTTTTAGATCTCAGATTTCAGCAATTACTAGATATTAAATAATAATTATTGAAATGCACGTTGAGATATATGAAACCTATATTTTATGCTTGAATATTTATCTTACGTTTAATAGTCATTATGCCTTACCAAAAATATAAAAGATTTTTATAATTGTGTATGACATAAAACTTATCTATGATAATAAAATCTAACAAAGGACATATTTTTCTCTGTACGCAGCTCTTTATAGCCTTTCCCTCTCTCTCAATTAGTTTTCTTGGTTTTCCGCCAGCCCATCCTTCAACACGCCCCCTCCCCGCCCCCTTTTGGAGTTGCTCATGTTACGCCTTGACAGGACATTTAAATGGCTTTTGGTGTCTGGG